GTCTTCCATTCATCGCCCTCTCTAATGCGCACCAAGTTATATGCGCTCCTGAGATCCAATTTTGTGAAGAACTGAGCACCGTGTAATGACTCCGTCATAGTCGCAATCAGAGGAAGTGGATAACTGTACTTCACCGTAATCTGATTGAGACCGCGGTAATCAATACACGGGTGCAAACCTCCATCTTTTTTCTTCACAAAAAAGAAGCTCGAGGAAGCGGGTGAAGTGGAGGCCCGTATGTATCCCTGTCTCAGAGACTCAGCGATGTAAGTTTCCATCGCCTTCCTCTCCTCTTGAGACAAGGGATACACATGGCTCCGCGGGAGTGCTGCTCCTAACTGGAGATCTATCGCACAATCCCCCTGTCTATGAGGCGGCAGCTGCGCCGCCCTGGTCTTACTAAACACCAGTGTCAAATCCTCATACTCGGGGGGAATATGCAGTGCGGGCATTTGATTTGGACTCTCCACCGAGGTCGCCCCTATGGAAACACCCAGACATAGCCCCTCACACTGAACAGACCACCCTTTAAGAGCTTTCTCTCGCCACGAAATAGTAGGATCATGGGTAATCAACCAGGGAAGTCCCAGCACCACCGGATACGCAGGAGAGTCAATCAGATAGAGCTGAATCGTCTCCTCATGACCCCCCTGCGTCTTCATCCTAAGGGGCACTGTGACCTCCCTAATTAACCCAGATCCTAACGGACGGCTATCTAGGGCATGTACAGGGAAAGGCTTATCAACGGGAAGGAGAGGAATCCCTAACTCTACACAGAACTGGCGATCTACAAAATTCCCAGCTGCGCCTGAATCTACTAGCGCCTTATGCTGGGAACGAGGTGCAACCTGTGGAAAACAAACAGGCAAGGTTATGTGAACGACAGAAAGCTCTGGGTAAGTAGGGCGCCTACTCACCTGGGAGGACTCCCCAATGCGTGGCCTGCCTACACCTCCACCGGGGGACCTTCCCCAACACCTAGCCGCGGTGTGCCCTCCACGGCCACAGTTGGTGCAGGGAACGGCCCCCCTCGGGTTCCTACTCCTCCGTTCTCTAGCGCCAGCACCTCCGAGCTCCATAGGGCTCGGCTCGGAGGTGCCGGAAGGTGGAATGGGCAACCCCCACCCGGGACGTCCACGGGTGGCGAGCAGGGTGTCCAGCCGAATGGCCATGTCGACCAGTTGGTCAAACGACAACGTGGTATCCCTGCACGCCAACTCTCTCTGGACGTCCTCCCGGAGGCTGCAGCGGAAGTGGTCTATGAGGGCCCGCTCATTCCACCCTGCATCTGCCGCTAGAGTCCGGAACTCCAAAGCAAAATCCTGTGCGCTCCTCATCCCCTGTCTGAGGTAGAATAGACGCTCCCCCGCCGCCTTCCCTTCTGGTGGATGGTCAAACACGGCCCGGAAGCGGCGGGAGAACTCCGCATAAGTGATGGTAGCGGTGTCCATTCTCCTCCATTCGGCGTTGGCCCACTCCAACGCCTTGCCGGTGAGACAGGAGATGAGGGCGGAGACGCTCTCGTGTCCCGAGGGCGCCGGGTGTACGGTGGCGAGGTAGAGCTCCACTTGCAGCAGGAACCCTTGACACCCGGCAGCGGAGCCGTCGTACGCCCTTGGGAGCGAGAGCCGAATCCCGCTGGGTTCCGGAAGGGGGACAGGAGGACTGACCGATGGGGATGGTCCGGTAGGTGGGGGCGTGGGTACCCCGCTGCTTTCCCATCGGTGGAGAGTGTTCATCACCCGATCCAGGGCGTGACCGATCTGGTTGATCCTGTCCTCCTGCCCACGCAGACGGTCCTCCATGATGTCCGTTGGCGCGGTTGCTCCTGCTGATTCCATGGGTGATGTGTGATTCTGTCAGTAGCTGAGTGTAGATGCGGTGTGGAAATCAAGCGCAGGAAACACGGGCGTTCGTGAACAGACTTTAGTAAAATAAAGGCAGCACCACACAGGCGAACAGCCAACCCAACCGGGAGGCAAAATACCAATTACGCACAAACAACAACGTGCGTAAAAGGACAATAGCGCACACAGTGCGGACTCTCGAAAACAACAAAACACGAGAGTAAATACGAGAGCAACAGCTAGACAATAACCAATCACACATAACACCTGACCCAACACACGATAACTAAATAGGAAACCAAATCAAACACTAACAAGGGACAGGTGTACAAACAGACAAAACCAAACCAACATGAAACATCGAACGGTGGTAGCTAGTACTCCGGGGACGACGACCGCCGAAGCCTGCCCGAACAAGGAGGAGGAGCAGCCTCGGCCGAAACCGTGACATGCAGATAGATTGTATCTTCTATCAATGTAATTGTCTGCATCACTTCCAATCCCCCATGTTTTTTTTAAATATATATATACTCCCCTTTATTACTTTTCAACCCCACCATCCTTTCCCTACTTGGAGTAAATTAGTGAACAACAATGTCAGGCCTCTACTTCCGGTCTATACTTACTATCTACACCTTATGGACAGAGTTAATTTTACAATAATTCTATTATATATATATATATATATATTCTTCTACTCTCAACCTCTCCGATCATTTTCATGATGTCCATCCGGTTTGCTTCTATATGCCATATCTTTCTAACTGTGCTCTTTCCCAAAAGCTCCCAACATACAACCTATATACTTATTATGGACACAGTATGCTTACATTATTAGCTATCTTTGCTATTATTTGTTGTTATTTGTTATTAGTCCCATCCTTCAACTCTATTCAATACCTCCCATCTATCTCTTAACACCATCCATATAGGATTTCTATTTGCCATATATATTTCAACCGTACTGTGATGTTTTACAAAAGTTCTGAACCTTTCTATTCTCATTGCTTCTACAGATTGTGAATTAAAAATAAACATTTTTGCTAAAAGTATTATTATATTATTGATTGATTGACTATGACTTTTCAGATCACCCAGTAATGCTATCTGCAAGGTTAGCTCCAGGTAAATATTGCAATCCTTTAGCCATTCCTGGACTGATGAGTCTTTGTGAGACGCAGAGTAGGTGAACGGATGATCTCCACATGTGTGGTTCCCACCATGAAGCATGGAGGAGGTGTGATGGTGTGGGGGTGCTTTGCTTGTGACACTGTCTGTGATTTATTTAGAATTCAAGGCACACTTAACCAGCATGGCTACCACAGCATTCTGCAGCGATATGCCATCCCATCTGGTTTGTGCTTAGTGGGACTATAATTTATTTTTCAACAGGACAATGATCCAAAACACACCTCCAGGCTGTGTAAAGGCTATTTGACCAAGAAGGAGAGTGATGGAGTGCTGCATCAGATGACCTGGCCTCCACAATCACCGACCACAACCCAATTAAGATGGTTTGGGATGAGTTGGACCACAGAGTGAAGGAAAAGCAGCCAACAAGTGCTCAGCATATGTGGGAACTCCTTCAAGACTGTTGGAAAAGCATTCCTCATGAAGCTGGTTGAGAGAATGCCAAGACTGTGCAAAGCTGTCATCAAGGCAAAGGGTGGCTACTTTGAAGAATGTCAAATATAAAACATATTTTGATTTGTTTAACACTTTTTTGGTTACTACATGATTCCACATGTGTTATTTCATAGTTTTGATGTCTTCACTATTATTCAACAATGTAGAAAATAGTAAATATAAAGAAAAACCCTTGAATGAGTAGGTGTGTCCAAACTTTTGACTGGTACTGTATTTGTCGGCGATTGTGGACATTATTGAGTTCCTTTTGTGGCATCCACAGCAACATACGATAACTAATTTTCCACTTTGACAAACATGTTCAGTCAGCACATTAGAAGCATGCAACACCTGAGGAAAGCTGAACTAATCCAACTGGCATTTTGAGGGGGATCTTACAAGAAGATTTCGGGGAGAATGGAATGATCGAATACTCAGGAAAATTCACAGAGCATCAAGGAAGCTGCAACTCTTTTGAAAAGGTAAGATTGAAACAATCTAGCTGGTTGGTTTTTATCAAAATCTTCCTTTGTATAGGGTGCTGTCCATGGAGCTGATAGAGCGCAGCAAGATTTCGTGCCATTGAACCTGTCACTTCTTGGTGAAAAGCATTTTTTGGATATAATTCCAATGCAAGAACCCAAATGACGCTACATATCGGTATTTTTTCATCATAGAAATAGATACGCATTATTCTATTATGGTTTTCTTGGTAGCCTGTTGGTTTTCATTGCTGTAAATGGAACTGTACTTATTGGAAATGTGTTTATGTAGGCTGGTATTGCTTAATTGGTTACGTGAGTCGAATTTGATTCACAGAAGTGTATTGTGCCATATCACAACGTGTTGCTGAACTCATGAGGGAGTGGCATGATTTTCCATGTTTGAAGTGGGCCTGTATAGGCCTATTTATTTGGCAAGACAGCTGTGCATTGCTGCATCTCACTGTAGTAGGCTGTAGGCTGTTTGGATCTCCATTCGCTTTTGTTTACTGTTAATGTAACTAGCCTAAATATGGATTGTTTCATGCCTTTATCGATGGAATATTTTGTTTACTAGGCCTACTACTACCACTGTTTTGTTCTGTTCACATTCGTTCGCATTCGCAATTGTGTCAATATTCTAAGCCAAACTGCTATTCAGCATTTTTGTTTGCATGCATGAATAACTAGGCTACTACTTTGAGCATTTAGTCTGCATTATTTTGGTAAAACAGCTGTGTGTACGTTGCATTTACATAGGCTGTTTATAATACGGTAATTGCCCATCTGCTGTAGGGGGCTGTCCATTTTGCTGATACAGTGCAGCAGAGATAGGCTACAGATTTCAAAAGCACTCAGTGATCTCGGAGTGTACTTTTTGTTTATTATGGTATAGCGTGATTATATAAGCAGAATTCAATATAATTCCAATGCAAGAACTCCAAAAAATGTAGCCCCCTCTGTGATTTCAACAGCCCCCTTAGTCACTTTATCCTGGCGCCAGAGCTGGCTCTCCCCACTTACCCTCCTCCAGGGCCTCTCGGACCTTCATGGGGTCAGCGGACAAGTACAGGTTAGTGTGGTAAGCCTTCAGGTACCCAATGGGACTGTTCCCACCCGTCATACAGAAACGCTCAATGAACAGCCCTGCAGAGGAAAGAGAGAAGGACATAGAGTCAATGTACTGATTCCTGACTGTAATTCAGGGGATTAGATAACAGTTACCGATGGCTTGGGAGATCCAAAGATGCAAAGAGAGAAAAATGCCCAGAGAGGAGTAAAGAGAGAAAAGAGTGGATTGAGGGGTGAGCTGGAAGGAAAGAGCCTGAGAAAGTGTCTCAGTCAGGACAGATGTTTCCACTTGGTCAGGCTATTTTAGTGAGGGTAGGACTGAACCCCTCATTACCCAAACCCCCACACCCCCAGGGCCCAGAACCAAATCTCCCAACTCCCCTCATCCCAAAGGACGTGTGGAGTGTCGAGCGTGAGAGAGATCGCCCCAACACCATCCTAGTCCAACCAGCGGCCAGAGCTGTGTCTAGTTATTTCCTAATTTCATAGTAATCTATAAGTCCTTTTATTAAAGCATTATGACACGCTACACAACCACAGTTTACAAGGGAATGTAATGTACTAAACAACATTTAGCCTTTAACCTCCCCAACCCACTCTCTCTTTCATTCTCTTACATTCTCTCTCTCTCTCTCTCTCTCTCTCTCTCTCTCTCTCTCTCTCTCTCTCTCTCTCTCTCTCTCTCTCGCTCGCTCGCTCGCTCGCTCGCTCGCTCACACACACACACACACACATTTGAGTTTAAGGACTTAAGGACCCACACAGCTGAAGTTGTTCTGTGATGTTTTGAGCAGGCGTGTGTTCTGAGGAGGGACACAGGGCCATAGGGTCATACAGACTGTGTGGGAAAGGGGAGGACCAGCTGTGTGGAGCACCCAGAGCACCGTCATCATCAGTGCATCAGAACAGCCTCCTCTCCTGGTGCCCTTAACCCCCTAGAGTCGATGTCCGCACTGAAATGTAATTAGCATAATACAAAATAAAATCCATCTGTTTAATAATAATAATATGACCCCACCATCAAAAGGTGGGACTGAATGGAAGTATATATGGAAGGACTTTAGTGTAAAAAAAAAGGGGGTAAATATGGGTAAAAATATATATATAATTATTTCCTGAGCTTTCTTACATTATATCCTAAAATTCAAAATCAAATAGCTAAATGATCCTTGATATGACCATCTTAAAACAATTCCATATATTAGCTTAGTAGAAACCCAGCCCTGGGCACTTAGACCACTCTCAGGACATCACACTGAATCTGAATGAAAAATGTCCTCATTCACAGCACAATAGCCAGGTGGTGCCCATGTGTGCATGTGTTTATGCATGTGTGTGTCTGTGTGTGTGATTAGGCACTCACGGTGGTGGTTGATGGTGTTGATGAGTCGGAGGCCGACGTGTGCGTGGTTATTAGTCATGAGCACAACGTCAAATAGCTCCTCACTCTCAGGGTACAGCTCCCTCAGCCGAGTATTCACTGCCTCCAGAGCCTGGGGTCATGTCAAACAGAAGCTCTTAACATATAATCTATCATACAACATACAGTTGAAGTCGGAAGTTTACATACGCTTAGGTTGGAGTCATTAAAACTAGTTTTTCAACCACTCCGCAAATTTCTTGTTAACAAACTATCGTTTTGGCAAGTCGGTTAGGACATCTACTTTGTGCATGACACAAGTAATTTTACCAACAATTGTTTACAGACAGATTATTTCACTTATAATTCACTGTATCACAATTCCAGTGGGTCAGATGTTTACATACAATAAGTTGACTGTGCCTTTAAACAGCTTGGAAAATTACAGAAAATGATGTCATGGCTTTAGAAGCTTCTGATAGGCTAATTGACATCATTTGAGTCAATTGGAGGTTTACCTGTGGATGTATTTCAAGGCCTACCTTCAATCTCAGTGCCTCTTTGCTTGACATCATGGGAAAATCAAAAGAAATCAGCCAAGACCTCAGAAAAAAAATTGTAGACCTCCACAAGTCTGGTTCATCCTTGGGAGCAATTTACAAATGCCTGAAGGTACCACATTCATCTGTACAAACAATAGTACGCAAGTATAAACACCATGGGACCACGCAGCCGTCATACCGCTCAGGAAGGAGACGCGTTCTGTCTCCTAGAGATGAACGTACTTTGGTGCGAAAAGTGCAAATCAATCCCAGAACAACAGCAAAGGACCTTGTGAAGATGGTGGAGGAAACAGGTACAAAAGTATCTATATCCACAGTAAAATGAGTCCTATATCGACATAACCTGAAAGGCCGCTCAGCAAGGAAGAAGCCACTTCTCCAAAACCGCCATAAAAAAGCCAGACTACGGTTTGCAACTGCACATGGGGACAAAGATCGTACTTTTTGGTCCTCTGGTCTGATGAAACAAAAATAGAACTGTTTGGCCATAATTACCATTGTTATGTTTGGAGGTAGTCTGGCTCATCTCCTGAGTGGCGCAGTGGTCTAAGGCACTGCATCGCAGTGCTAACTGTGCCACTAGAGATCCTGGTTCGAATCCAGGCTCTGTCGCAGCCGGCCGCGACCGGGAGACTCATGGGGCGGCGCACAATTGGCCCAGCGTCGTCCAGGGTAGGGGAGGGAATGGCCGGCAGGGATGTAGCTCAGTTGATAGAGCATGGCGTTTGCAACGCCAGGGTTGTGGGTTTGATTCCCACGGGGGGCCAGTATAAAAAATTAATAAAAATATTCACTAACTGTAAGTCGCTCTGGATAAGAGCGTCTGCTAAATGACTAAAATGTAAATGTAAATGAAAAAGGGGGGTGCTTGCAAGCAGAAGAACACCATCCCAAGCATGAAGCACGGGGGTGGCAGCATCATGTTGTGGGAGTGCTTTGCTGCAGGAGGGACTGGTGCACTTCACAAAAAAGATGACATCATGAGGAAGGAAAATTATGTGGATATATTGAAGCAACATCTCAAGACATCAGTCAGGAATTAAAGCTTGGTCGCAAATGGGTCTTCCAAATGGACAATGACCCCAAGCATACTTCCAAAGTTGTAGCAAAATGGCTTAAGGACAACAAAGTCAAGGTATTGGAGTGGCCATCACAAAGCCCTGACCTCAATCCTATAGAACATTTGTGGGCAGAACTGAAAAAGGGTGTGCGAGCAAGGAGGCCTACAAACCTGACTCAGTTACACCAGCTCTGTCAGGAGGAATGGGCCAAAATTCACCCAACTTATTGTGGGAAGCTTGTGGAAGGCTACCCGAAACGTTTGACCCAAGTTAAACAATTTAAAGGCAATGCTACCAAATACTAATTGAGTGTATGTAAACTTCTGACCCACTGGGAATGTGATGGACCCACTGGTCCCCTGTAGCTCACTTGGTAGAGCATGGCGCTTGCAACGCCAGGGTTGTGGGTTTGTTTCCCACAGGGGGGCCAGTAAGTCGCGTCTGCTAAATGACTAAAATGTAAAATGTGATGAAAGAAATAAAAGCTGAAATAAATCATTCTCTCTACTATTATTCTGACATTTCAAATTTTTAAAATAAAGTGGTGATCCTAACTGACCTAAGACAGGGAATTTTTACTAGGATTAAATGTCATGAATTGTGAAAAACTGAGTTTAAATGTATTTGGCTAAGGTGTATGTAAACTTCCGACTTCAACTGTACAGTGACGAACATGACCACCAATCTCCACCAATGTCTCTGTGTGTGTGTGTGTGTGTGTCTGTCTGTCTGTCTGTCTGTCTGTCTGCCTTCATTTCCCTGACCTTAACGAAAGGAAAAGCAGGACCGGGGCCGAAGGGCTCTGTCTCGTGCTCTATCTGGTACTTGAGGTAGTCCTCCATGCCTTTCTGTTGGTAGATCTGCTGCTCCTTATCCATGTTGAAGAGGACCCGCGATGACACCGCAATGGTGATGGCATTCTGAGGCTTAGGCTGTTGGATGAGGGGAAACAAAGCTTCATATTTGAACCCCCCCCTTCAGCACACAATACAACACACACGTTAACACACAAAAATACTCCAAAACACACACACACACACAAGTCACATTGTGGGTAAGAAGCCTTGTGGATCAGTCTGCTACAGTCTGAGACTTCCTTGGTAGTGATGATGGAGTTGGAGTGTACGTAGGTTTAGTGGCCCACAGACAGGGACAGGGTAATGTGGCGCCAGAGGGAGACAAAAGGTCTACTGGTGTCCACGGCTCTACTTGTGGTAGACAGTCTCAAAGTGAAATACTGTACAGCAGCTGATTAAAGGGTATTTAATATGAGCAACATGAAAGATGTGAGAATAAACTAAGAAGGGGCATACTTTTTTTGTTCTCTTTGACAGTATTGGCTTGCTCAGTTTTGATTAAATCAAATTTCACAGCAAAGGAGATGCTTTACCTCAGTGGTTGAACCGACCATGTTTACGAGGATAGAACCTGCTGTATTTACATATCATGTAGGTGTATCTCAACCACTGGCAAAGGCTATGGTGGTGGGCTGGAGAGAGCTAGTTTACTGTAAACATAACTGTACAAAGCAGATTTGAAGAGCACATTACAGACTCATTTCATGGGTAGGTCCCACTGTAAAGTGCTGGTCAGTCGCCCCACACTGGTTTCAGACCAGTCACAGTGAGAGAGCTGTGTGACAAGAGCTGAGGTGACAGTGTGACATGACTACATACATTCCCCAGCCATATTGATAACACATGAAGCAGAGCTACATTCCAGATTGGCGGCCACTTGTTAACCCTTTGACTGCCTTTCTAGTGGTTCAAACCCGAGTAAAATACCACCTTTAACTGGTTCTTGACTTTCTCTCTCCATTTAGTTTATTTGAACACTAAAATCAGTTTTATGGATGTGTTAGTATTGCATCAGTTTAACATTTCTGTGCCTTGTTTTATTAAATAGTTTCTAAAATAATTGTCTCTGGCAAATCTGTAAGCATGCCTTTTATAGTCAATAAGGCATATTGCCATTATTGCAGCTTCAAATAGCTTCTGTACAGGTCTCTGTTATAAAACTCAGCCCTGAAGACAGATAGAGCCAAGTGGTAACCTGATATAATCTGTCATATAATCAATCAATTTACTAGCCTATGACAACTTCGCTGAGATAAAATAATAAAGACTTCTTCATATCAAGAAGGCCGAAAGCAGATTGTGGAGTTAAACATATTCTTTAAATTACTGTCACCTAAAGTTTTGAATGATTTTCGAGATAATAAATAAGTTCACTTAAAAGAAGATCCCTCCCTGCCTCTTGCATGTGGTGGGAGCGGTATCGTTTCGATGCATTGTCCTCTCTGAAATTTGGCAGGTTAGATATTTATCGCCGCCGTTGCTGGTACCCTGTCAGAGTGCTGTCTGCGATACTGAACAACTGGACTCAACTATTATTCAGTCCCTTGTTGACCCATTTGATGTTGTCACAATGTGTTTGTCTGTAAAGACTTCATCCTGTTTCATTGACAGCGAGCATACGGTAAGCAAAACTGACCCCACCAACTGAACCCTCAGACCCTTCAAAGAGACGGAATTGTTGTCTTTTATTTTGGTACACTTTTATGACAAAATGTAGAGTTAAATTCTACTACCAATATATTCTTTCAAACCATTGGACATGGAGACATATTTGATCATTTGGCCAGCTAGGCTGCTTGAAATAACCCCCCCCCCCCCCCCATCCCCCACAGGCAGGCTCATAGATAAGGTTATGAGTGTGTCTGTCTTCTATCACTCAGTGCAGCAGGTGACTGTAGGCTACTTGTGTCATTACAGACAGACATGTTAACAGATGGACTCTCTTCTACAGTTGCCCAAATGCATTATGAAATCCTTATCTATTATCTAACAAACGTTTTAAAAATGAAGGAACTGATTCCTTATTTGCTCTAAATGTCAGTGTAATTGCCACATGAAAGGATATACAGTAGCCTACATTCAATGAACTAATTGACAGGTAACAGATACATATCAAACATTGAACATGTACCCTTAGCATATTAAATAGTTTTTCCCACTAAAGCAAGGCATGCAAACTCCTCACAATACAGACAGAGATAGAGAAAGTGTGTGTGAGAGGGAGAGAGATTCTCATTATTTTTCTCCTCATCTCATGACACATTGACACTCACCGATTTGAGATGCTTGGTGGGGGTGGATGGGTTAGACAGAGTGTTGGTTCTTTCCCAGGATGCTCTTGCTGTGCCGTTGGGTGCCGTGTCCTGGCCGGTCAGCGTCCCACCATTGTTTACACTCATCATTCTGCCTTTCTTATTGCTTCACCCACACTTCTTCCCTCTATCTCTCTCAGGCAGTCCTCACTGAGTACCTTACTGCCTCTCTTGCTGTCTCTTTCTCTCCCTCTATCTCTCTCAGGCAGTCCTCACTGAGTACCTCACTGCCTCTCTTGCTGTCTCTTTCTCTCCCTCTTTCTCTTTACCTCTCTCCCTCTCTCAGGCAGTCCTTACGGAGTCCTCATGTAGCCTTATACTCATTTACACCATCATCCCCGGTGCACTCAGAGATGAGAGCAGCTGACTGACCGGCAGTGCAACCACTCAGCTGAATGCTCAGAGCAGAGGAGGAAGAAAATACAGATATTGTATGGATGGAGAGAGGCAGAATGCTAGCTGTTGAAACTGTCCTTCTTGTTTTTGGCATGCATCATTCGTATAGATGTTGTGCTCTCCCTCTCCCTCTCTCCCACTCTAATGTTTTTATTAGACATCCTACATCCTCCTCCCTTTCTTAACCCTTTGCTGGATATGAATTCTGCATCACTCCGTTAATTTGATTTAATGCATGTGACAACTGTGTGTTCTTGCAATTTGTAGTTTATGACATTTCAGATTTACATATAATAATTTTTCATGAAGTAGTCTGGATGTAGTGAACTATATTTTTCTTAAGGGTAACGTTAGTGTATATGTTCAGAGTAGCTTCCACAACATTGTCAATGTGCCCTTGAGCAAGGCCCTTAACCCTAATTGCTCCAGGGTCGCCGTTGATAATGGCTGACCCTGGCTATGACCCCACATCTCTGAGGGTGTGTAGCAACTGATAATGTAATAACTTACAATAATCTAATAGATGCTAATAATAACAACTTTTTCATCTGTAATGTAATAAATGCTGATAATGTAATAAATTGCCAATAATGTAATGAATATGCTGAATGCATAACATAATAACACTTTTGTGCATAATGTAATATGTATGACATTATGCGTTGATTGTTACATTATGAAGTGGGTAAAAAAAAAGGAATAGTGTATTGGCTATAACTTTAACCAATAACGTAAAAACAACCCCAAAAAAGACTTACTAAAAACTACATTCACTCTCTTTTTTTTATTCTCTTGAGAATATAAAGTGTCATGCTTCAGTAATAGCTGACTAAACACCCAATCACATTCCTAAATCATAGCTCTAAACCTGACTTCAAACAAATGCTTCACCTCCTAAGATGCTGTTTAATGTTACTGTTAAGGCACAAAAGCCTTTGAAACAATTCAAGACATTTTCAACAATTGTTACTGCTGAATATTCTTCTGGTTGTTGTCACATACACCAACTTACTCACAGTCATCATTAGGTAATTGGATTTGCATTATCTAATCATTCTTATTCATGCATTTTTTTCATCAGGTTTTGGTTTGTAGAACAAATATTTTAATTGATATTACTTGATATTTTTAATTGATACTATTTAATTTATCTTACTAAGGGAATGTAACTGGACAGTTCATTAAACCAGTGGGCTAATGTTGGAGGGCCCATACTCATGTTTTCCAGCAGACATAAACGGGGAATTCCGACACACTTAGATATTACAGATAATACAGAGTCCCAAAAGTTTGTTATATCTACACAAGACCAGAACATATGTCAAATGGAGCCGTGAAGAAAACGTTTAATTAAAATGTTTCTTGTACTGGTTGACCTGAAAAATAAAAGGTGTAACACTTCCATATGTGAGGCTCATAAGAGGACTATAGAGGCGTATAAATTAAAGTAGTGCAAATGCAAAGTGTTCCTCAAGTGTGTGACACTTAATATGCATTCCATTAAAGAAAGAGAGTGAATTTAGGTTGTTATTACATTATTGGTTTAAGTTATTACACTATTGATTACATTTGTTTTACCCACTTTATAATGTAGCACATTTTCAATTAATACACACATTTCCAATTAATACACACGTGTACGTATTAATTGGGGCGGCAGGTAGCTTAGTGGTTAAGAGCGTTGTACCAGTAACTGAAAGGTCGCTGGTTCTAATCCCCGAGCCGACTAGGTGAAAAATCTGTCGATGTGCCCTTGAGCAAGGCACTTAACCCTAATTGCTCCTGTAAGTCGCTCTGGATAAGAGCGTCTGCTAAATGACCAATTTATTTTATTTTTATTGATTTACATGTGTGAAATAGGACAAATAGGCTGCATTTTCACAAATTGGTCTTTTGACCAATCAGATCAGCTCTGAAAAACATCTGATGTGAAAAGATCTGATGTGATTGGTCAAAAGACCAATTAATGGAAAATAAATATCAGAATTTGGCTGCCTGTGTAAACACAGCCATATAAGCACCCACCAAATGAATAGGCGTGCCTAACAGTAGGCATGTATGCAGTGGCGGACTTACCATTAGGTAAAAGAGGCAATTGCCTCAGGCTTCACATCATCACGGGGCCTCGTGAGCTGGGCATAATAAAAAATAATAATACTAGTAATCGTTTTTAGTTTTTATCTGCTTGAGGCCTCCCCATGCTCTGCTCGAGTCCCCTCAACCACATTGTTAACAAAAAAAGGCCTACAAAAAATGTAATGAATCCATACAGCCGAATAATAATTCATAATAGAGCAATCATTTATTTCCATACCTATACAGTATTTCATATCAATATGAATTTAATCCATGTTTTTCTCATAATAGTAGAAACAAGTATCATTAATCACCCACGGACTGGTTCATAATGAACTATTCCACCCTGACAGAGTTCCTGTGCATTGTTTCACGCAATATGATCGCAAACATGACTTTCATTGAAATTAAGCTGCAGCATTGAGGCGTTTCAGAGCGGGGCACAGAAAATATAAATAAATAAATACGATTTCATTTTAACAGAAAAATTACCTAAATTAATGCATTTCTTTAGTAAAAAGACAGGTGCTGTTGGTAATACTGCCATCGTCGTCAATGCAGAGGCAGAGGTATGTGTAGCCCATGTATCTAATGCTGTCAGGCCAAAAATAATATGGCATACACTTTTGGGCAGACAGCATCCGATACTGTACATGGGCTACATACTGTATACTGTAGTAAGACAGAGGGGCGCTGTTTCGCTCACTCGGATGCTTTATCCGGTGAGTTACAGTAGTTTCAGCCACTTGCGAATTTAAGGAAAGTTGGCAGGTGCACCGTGCACTGTTCAGATGCTGGAATTATTTTGGATGAACGTGCTGAGGTAACCTACTTTTTGATGTGATTTGTTTGACAATCAGATGAAAACATAATGACTGGTTGTGTTCATGGCACATTAAAAGGTAATATATTTCTACAGTTAAATTACATGTCTTTACTATAAAACCCATGTAAAAATGTTTTTACACATTTGCACAACCGCGTGCACACATAGACAGAGCAGAGCTATAGGGAAGACTGAGCTATAGGGATACTGGAACATATATGAAAACCTTCAGAGATCACCAAAGCTGAGGCTTGTGCTAAACTTTAAATGTTAATGTGATGTGTTACTACAGTCAGGCAGGTTCAAGGCAGGTTCGAGGCAGGTTCAATAAAGGGAGGTTCAATCTTTACCCATGGTTTCCCTCACACCATTCCAGTGTCCTTGAGTGCTAAGTGGCGTTTTCCTTTTCCCTGCTTAGTGGACTGGGAAATGGTGTCACTGGATCATTGTTCCCCTCTGCATTCTATGACGATTTCTTATTGCCTCTCTTCCCAACCCCTGCAGCTCTCTCAACTGATAGAATTAAGGCACAGCAGCAGTTACTAAGCAACGATGGGACACCCACGCTGGAAGCTGATTGGCTGCTGTGAGTCCAGGCTATGTGTGTAGCCTGATAAATTATGTTAGAGAAGCAGGCAGACGCCCCAGGAAAATGCTTTGAAGAGAACAAATGGATAACCATATCCGCGTTGGTTATATGGTTTCAACACAACAGAGGCAGTTACTGTACAATCTGTTACTAGTTTCTGGAAGAGATATTACACAGACATCCTGTAAAGGGCTTAATAAAGAAAAAAATTGATAAAAGGTTACCAGATGCACCGTCAACTCATTTATCAGATGTATCAGAGATGGTTACCTAACATACTCTGACTGAACCGTACATAACACATAAACACACATTTCTCGAATGGTTACAAATTGAATCTACAGTGCATTCGGAAAGTATTCAGACCCCTTGACTTTTTCCAGTCTTATTCTCAAATGGATTAAATCGTTTTTTTCCCCCTCATCAATCTACACACTACCCCATAATGACAAAGCAAAAACAGGTTTTTAGACATTTTTGCAAATGTATTACAAAATAAATACTGACATATCACATTTATATAAGTATTCAGACCCTTTACTCAGTACTTTGTTGAAGCACCTTTGAAGCACAGTCTTCTTGGGTATGACGCTACAAGCTTGACACACCTGTATTTGGGGAGTTTCTCCCATTCTTCTCTGCAGATCCTTTCAAGCTCTGTCAGGTTTGATAGGGAGCGTCGCTGCACAGCTATTTTCAGGTCTCTCCAGAGATGTTAGATCGGGTTCAAGTCCAGACTCTGGCTGGGCCACTCAAGGACATTCAGAGACTTGTCCCGAAGCCACTCCTGCGTTGTCTTGGCTGTGTGCTTAGGGTCATTGTCCTGTTGGAAGGTGAACCTTCACCCCAGTCTGAGGTCCTGAGCACTCTGGAGCAGGTTTTCATCAAGGATCTCTCTGTACTTTGTTCTATTCATCTTTCCCTCGATCCTGACTAGTCTCCCAGTCCCTGCTGCCGAAAAACATCCTCACAGCATGATGTTGCCACCACCATACTTCACCGTAGGGATGGTGCCAGGTTTTCTCCAGATGTGACGCTTGGCATTCAGGCCAAAGAGTTCAATCTTGGTTTCATCAGACCAGAGAATGTTGTTTCTCATGGTTTGAAAGTCTTTAGGTGCCTTTTGGCAAACTCCAAGTGGGCTGTCATGTGCCTTTTACTGAGGAGTGGCTTCCGTCTGGCCACTAGCATAAAGGCCTGATT